CCAGCCAGACCCTGCGGCGGTGACAGCTGGGGTCCGGGAGGCATCCTGCGCAATGCACAATTTGAGGAGGCAGCCGGCCACAAAGGGCCCCTGGGCTCTCAACAGAAATGCTGCCCTTTAAGCAGGTAAGCATAACCCACCAGCTCAGGTTCCTGATGGCAGGTGGCTGGAGTCACTTGGGACTCTCAAACCTGCCTGACTTTACAGAGGTGGAAGCTTGGGTCTCAGAGGTATCCTGCACAATGCAGAATTTCAGCAGGCAGACGGCCAGCCCCTCTTGGCCAGAGGCTCCTGAAAACTAAGGCTGACCCTTTCTCCAGTTAAGCAAAACTCAGCAGCCCAGGTTCCTGGTGGCATATTGCTTGAGGTGCTTGGGACTCTCAAACAAGCTCAGCTCAGCACAGGAAGCAGCTTGGGGCTGGGAGTCATCCTGCACAGTGAAGAGTTTCATGAGCCAGGCGTTCACTAAGGGCCCCAGGACCCTGGATACCAATGCCGCCCTTTACACAGGGAAGTGTAACTCACCAGCTCAGGTTCTTGATGGAACATTTCTGGGGCCACTTGGCACCCTCAAACCAGCCAGACACTGCGGTGGTGGCAGCTGGGTTCCGGGAGGCATCCTGTGCAATGCAGAATATGAGGAGCCAGCCGGCCACTAAGGGCCCCCGGGCACTGGACGCAAATGCCCCCCATTGCCCCAGGTAAGTGTAACTCACCAGCTCAGGTTCCTGATGGCACGTTGCTGGGGACATTTTCAACCTTCAAAGCAGCCTGACTTTGCAGTGCTGGCAGCTGGGGTCTGGGAGGCATCCTGTGCAATGCAGAATTTCAGATGACAGACAGCTGGCCCCTCTGTCCTTTCTTTCTTCCTTTCAGTTCCTTTCCTTATTTTCTTTTTTTTCTTTTCTTTCTTTCTTTCCCTGTATATCTAATCTTGGTTTTCCTTTCTAGCTTTGGAATAAAAAAAGCACCAGTAGTAGCTTTCAGGCTACCTGGGAGTAAAAAAACCTCCAAAACGAAAATGATTTAAAGAAAACTATTTATTCCCTGGGAGCCTGAAATTTTCTATACTGCTGCACGTGACATAGAGCTTTTATTCCTTCTTATAGATAGTTGATATTATATACTTACTTTATACAGCGCCCCCTGCCGTCTGCCCCGGAGCACTGCAGGCACAGCGATCCCTGCCGTCTGCACAGGCGCACTGCAGGCAGAGCCCTGCGGCGTTGTTCGGTTCTGTTTAATGAAACTCGGCTGAATTCGGCTTGGTTCGGCTCTTGGTCTAAACTCGTTTCAGTTCGGCTCTTCGGCCGAACTCGGCACGGTTCGGCTAAATTCGGTCATATTCAGCACATTGTCTAAATGCGGCCAGTGTCGCCCACATTCGGCTATCGGTTCCAGTCGGCTATCATCGGCTCTTGGTGTAAACTCGGCTGTTTTCGGCCACACTCGTCTATTTTCGGCCGCACTGGGCTCTTCGGGTAAACTCGGCTGTTTCCGGCCACCCTCGGCTCTTCGGGTAAACTCGGCTCTTTTCGGCCACCCTCGGCTCTTCGGGTAAACTCGGGTCTTTTCGGCCACACTCGGCTCTTCGGCTCTTCGGAACAATTCGGCCCGGCTCGGCTCCCTCAGGGCGCGAAAGCGGCCGTCAGAGGACCCCGGCACAGCGAGGCGTTTAACCCACATGCCTGGCACAAACCCGCCAAAATACGCCCGCCCGCGGCGCCGCTGAGCCCGCGGCCCGTATCGGGTACACTTGAAATGCCACAAAAAATACCACCGGGGCCGCGCCGGCGTCGGTATTCCATGCAGGCAGTCCACTTAGACCAACCCCGGTCCTCCACTTCCCCGCCCTTTTCGCCGCCATGATGAGAAGGTCAATTAAAAGTCCGCGACATCCGCGATGCGCCACTCCCAAGGTGGCGGCTTCTCGGTGCAGGGCTGCAGTACCGCGCTCTGCCCACAAGGCGGCAGCACTGCCGCACGCCCCAGCCGGGGGCGCAGCGCGCCTCGGGACTGCGGGCAGGGAAGGCGGCGAAAAAGAACAGGGGCGGCCCCCGCCGAAAACTGCTCTGAAATAAATGCCCCAAAACAACCGCGAAGAGGAAAAATAAACTTCTGCCTCTAATCTAATAGGATAAAAAAAAACAAAACAAAACCACAACAATTTCTTAAAAAAAAGAAAATTAGAAATTTAAAAAAAGGTTTTTTTCCTTTTAATATTCACATTTCTATCAATAATGTATATTGATGTATACTGTCCATTTATACATTTGTTTTTATGAATACATTTCTATTCCATATTGCATATATCCCTAAAACTTAAATTTATTTGTATATTTTTATACATATTTTTACATAGTAAGTATATATTTCTGTTCGGATTTTTACTTCTGTAACACTTACAGTACTCAAAACCCCTGCCTCTACCCCATACATGGCAAATAAAACCCCCTTTCATTTCAACTGTATTTAAAATCTTAAAAAAAATATTTTTCAAATTTGTATTTAAAATGTTTACTGATGTATGATCGATTTTGCATTTCTATTTAGCGATTTAGTTATAATTTATATTCTATGTTACATGTGTTCCTATTACTTATATTTTTTATATACTTTTATTCATATCTTTATATATTTATTATATCTTTCTGTGTTAGGATTTTTACATCTGCAACACTTACATTATTTAAAATAAAACCCCTGCCTCTACCCACATTAAAGCCAAAAAGAACCCCAGTCTTCTCAACTGTATTTAAATATTTTTTAAAACTCTATTTTTCAGGTTCATATTCACATTTACATTTAAAATGTATACTAACGTATACTCTTATTTGTATTCTCCATTACATCTCTTCCTATTATTTCTATTTGCTAATATTTTGTGTTTATATATATATTTAGATCTTGATTGTATATCTCAATATTTAGAAATATATAACAATAATATCTACATTCATATTATTTAAAATAAAAACCCTGCCTCAAACCCAATAATAAAAAAGACCCCAACCCTTTCTTTTAAACAATATTTAAATAGGTTTTATCCTTATGTCTGATTTTTATATTCATATTTGTATTTATCATGTATATTAATGTCTATTGCTTACTTATACATTTATCTTTATCAATGTCAAGTTATAAACAAATTTATATTCTATATTACATCTGATGCGAGTAGTTATTTATGAATTTTTATACATATTTTTATACATTGATTATATATTTCTGCGTCAAGATTTTTACTTCTGTAACACTTACAATATTCAAAAAAAACCCCCTGCCTCTACTTAAATAAAAGCCAAAACATTCCCTTTTTTTTAAGCTATATTTACATATTTTTATATTTATATTCCCATTTATAATTTATATTGCCATATAATATTATTTATATTCTATACTACAACTCTTCATATTACTTCCATATATTTATATATAAATTTGTATTAATACTTTAGCAATTTCTCTTTATATATTTATTATATATTTCTATCTTAAGATCCACATTTCTATATTACTTACATTATTTCAAATAAAACTCCTGCCTCTAACCAAATAAAAACCAAGGACACCCCTTTATGTGAACCAGATTTAAAATGTAGCAGGTAAATTTATTTTTCAAAATTATAATGATATTTATATAGATATTTTTATTTATTATATTCATAGATATTATATATATTAGAGAGAATACCTTCTAATATAATAGATATGTATTTTCTGTATTATATTTTTTTTACTTATAGATACAAATACAAATCTCTATAAATATTTAATTCAAATAAATATATTTGTATATCTGAATTGATATTTTATTTCTATCATTTATTTAAAAACCCCAGCCGACAACCTAATAACACCCCTCCATTTATTTTAACTCTATTTAAATGTTTTTATATTTATAATCTATATTTATATATCTTTGTGTATATATATATATAACAGACTATCATTAATCTATATGATAATATATTACAATTATATACCACGCATTATAGTTTTATGTATGTATCTGTTATCTATATTTATGTCTACCACTCTAATGTTATATTTATTTTTAAATGTATATTTATTTCTATTTTCATCTCTATATTAAACCATACAAGTTCATTAACCTCACGCACCAGAACCACAACAATACCGTACCTTTGTCAGCACCGGCACGCAGCACACGCTCGTCCCATCGCAGCACATCAAAACAAAACCCATTGCTATTACTAACGGAACAAACGTCCCACAACGTCATTGAACCCTAATAAAAACTCAAATAAACCTAACTGTCAATAAATATTAAACCCCACTATAAAGTAGCCCAAAACCTCCGCACATTCTCATCATAAACTTCCTCCTAAACCAGTATCTCAAAAACCCCAAAAAACTCAAATACACCTTGAAAATGACACAACTGCTAATAAAAACAAACACCCAGTAAAAATTAAATCAAACCAACTCACTAGACTCAAAACTGTACAACTGACCCTAAACATTACTAAAAAAAGTCCCTAAAGCTCTACCTTTATGCTAATGCACAAATAATAACCTATCATCTAGAAAAGTTATTTGAAAAAATTAAAAAAAATAATTAAAACCATGAAAATCAAAAACCTAAACTATTAAAATACTAAAAAATATCACTACCTAAATTAAAAAACGTATTGCCTATAAAAACCCACCATATAAATGCCCCTCTCCCAAAAAATAAAAAAAAAAACAACTATCGAACCAGAAAGAAATCAGAACTTAGGAACACTAAAACCATAGCGTTCAAGAAGTCACACCACATCCCTTATCATACACCAACTACAAACAACAGGAAACAATACAATGAATTCTTAAAAACCACCTTAAAACCACTACATTGGAAAACATTTCAAAAATTAAAATCTGCATTTAACAAAAGCCATCTCATAAATTCACACCCTAAACTCCAGCAGCCCAGCTGGCCCTACCAAAGCTCTATGTTTATACATACAGCAAACAAAACCAAAATCTCAGTAATACCCATCAGAAATCTATGAAAGAATCCTATTGAAATTAATGCTGCCTCAAATACAAACCAACCCATCCAGAAAGTCAGCTACACTCAAAAAACAATTTACACAGAGTTAATAATACCAAGAAATAAAACAACACACCATATACCACCAATGAATATAATAGTCAAGTAAAAAAAAAAACACTACATTTTTTTCTTTTTATTTCTTAAACTAACTTCTTTTATTAGCTAGAACAAAAGATTTTGCCAGGACTGTAACAACAACAACAACCTCTTTTTCTTCTTCACCTTCTGAAATGTCCCTTCTCACTCCCAAATTCCTTTCAACTCCTGAGTTTACATCCAAGCAAAAAGCAAAATTCGTGCACTCGTGCGTTCGCTGCTCCCGTCAGATTCTCTCTTCCCCTCCACATCTTCTCACACTTTCAGTCTCCACGCTGTCCCGCCGTGATGAGTCTGACAGAAGAATTGGCACAAGCTAACAGAGCATTTCCCTCCCTCCCTCCCGCTGCTTTCCTCAGCGCATTTCAATCCATCCCAGGCCTGCAACGATGCACCCTCACCCCAAAGCTCACAGCAAGCGTGCAGCAGCTCAGGCTCACTTGCCTCCAGGGCTCTGTGCCTTGGATAGCCGAGGAAACTTCTGATGAGCCTCCGTTCCAATCAACTGGAATGCAAACTCACCTCCATCTCAGAGCCTCAGTGACCTCGGCCAGCCCCTTCCTCACTTCCCTGGGTCACAATGACTTCCAGGCACAAGGATGCCAAGCAGGTTCTTGTCTTTTCTCTTGAGTGCCAACAGGTCAAATATGTAGGCTTTGACATAACTAATTACCCTCTCTTTGAACTCTCCCAAGGACGCTTATAAAGAAAAGACACAAGATTGCTGCTACAGCCATGTGGGATCGGGAGGAAAGCAGCAAGGATCCCAGGCCAGCGGCGCGGCCGGGCAGCGTCACGTCCCTGCCGCCCTGTGACAGGGCGCACGGCTGCAGGGCCCCAGAGCCTGCAGGCCCTGGAGGTGCCACACGGATGGACCCGGTTCCCTCCCCGGGTGCCCAGAGGGAAACCTGAGGGCAGGTGTCCACCCCGAGGGTGCACCCAGAGCCCCGGGCACGGATGGAGTCACTGGCCGCTCTCTGGGGACGAGACCCTCCCTGCAGGTGACGCTGCCTTGTCCTCTCCCTCCCTGTGGCACAGGCACCTCCAGGCTCCATGACCAGCCTCCTTCTGTCAGCATCCAGGTGTGGTGTCGGAGCCAGAGGGGTCGAGGCTTTCCAGAACCATAGCATCCTTTAGGCTGCAAAAGCCTGCTAAGGCCATCGAGCCCAGCTGCTGCCCCAGCACTGCCAAGCCCCCACCCAAATCAGGTCCCTAAACACCACATCTTGCCATGCTTCAAATGTCTCCAGCATTGAGGACTGCCCTGGGCAGCCCGCTCCTATGCCTGACCACCCTTTCAGTGAACAAATTGGTCCTCAAAGCCAATCTGAGCCTTCCCTGCTGCAACTTGAGGCCATTTCCTTTTGTCACGGCACTTCTTACCGGGGAGATCTCGGCACTTCAACCTTACCTGCTCCTTCCCTAGGAGCTCTCTGGCTTGCCTGCATGAGAGGAGAAACACTCCCAGCACAGGAACGGCAGCTCAGCAGGTCCCACACCGAGGCAGGGGAGCAGCTGTCCTCACCACAGCTCCCGTGTCAGCTCTCACAGATCGGCTCTGCTCTGCCTCCCGGGGGCAGATCTCTGCTCAGCGCTTCAGAATTGCCTGTTTGGAGGAGGGGGAAAAAACAGCTTAGCCAAGATTTTTATCCAGACTTATCTGATGTCTTTGCCTGCTTTGCCTCTTCCTGACTTCCTCCTGCTAAAAAAACAGCTGCCTTTGGACTTCTAGGGGCAACTGCCACGTAATGCTTGAAAAGGAACTACAGAAAAGTGCCTCATTTTTCAAGACTCAGCCAAGAAGACAGACAACTGCACCTTCTCCATCCCCACTGCCTGCAGAGCTGCCAGGCACCAGGCCAGCTCTGCTCCTGCTTCCAGTTGTTCCCAACTCTGCTGCAAGAACTGAAGGCTGCTTTGGCATTCCATGGCTCCGCTCCTCCCAAAAAAGATCTTTCAGTGCCGTTCTCCCTCCACGGGAAGGGCCCTTTTGTCTCACACGCTCGGTGACACGAGGCTGCGCCAAGCTGCAGCAGCCTCTGCTCCAGCTGGGAAGGGCTTTCTTCTTCCTCTGGCACCTGCCTGGCACAGGTTGCTCACACATGCTGGGGCTGCCCCATCCCTGGAAGTGTTCCAAGGCCCATTGGTGCTCTGGGATCAGGCTCAGAGCAACCTGGTCCATGGAACCGTGTCCTTGCCCACGGCACCAGGCTTGGAACGAGGTGATCTTTAGAGCCCCTTCCAACCTGAATTATTCCATGATTCTATGAACTCAAAAAACTCGGGGAAGAAATCTGTAAAGTCACTAAATACATAAAAGAATATCCCCATCAGCATAATTTTGAATGAAAAGTATATCTACAAACAGGGAGAAATATTCTATGTATTTGCTCTTGCTACCTTTCAGGTGTAATTTCAGCTATCTCTTCCAGTTTTAAAATATTCTCTTTTGAAATAATAAGCAGTGTTCAAATTTTAGCATTTTTACACTATTGCAGAAGCAAAAATTGCTGACAATCAGGCCGTGTCATTCTCTATGGAGCAGAGCCATCGTGACAGCATTCCTGGGACAGAAATTTTACAGGATGTCACTCCACAGAGAGCACCAAATTCCATATCAGTTGGCAGTTCTGCTCCTCCACATCAGAAAGCTAAACTAGGACAAGACAGCCTCGGGATTCACGAATGGCAAGGCAATAAGAGACACGCCTTAATAATATCATTACAATTTCCACAGATCTGCCACCTGATCTGGGACAGCACAGCACCCTGGCCCAGAGGAAGGTGAGCCTGCCCAGGACAGGGGTGGAACTAGGTCGTTTTCAAGATCTCTTCCACCCCAAACCATTCTGCCGTGTGATGACACAGGAGAGTTGTAAGGGAGAAGAAGGATGAATTCCTTTGGAAGGATCATTGTTTGCCTCTCTAGTAGCAGGCTTTACTGGCAGGATTGTTTTGCTCTTGCACTGACCTTGGCTGAAGGTGCTTCACCCTGCAGAGAGCGGTGACAGCCTGCTGCACACGCTGTTCTTGGGCAGAGCGCACGGAGCCAGAGGGCAAAGAGCCCCCAGCAGGTCCGTGACAGGAGCGGATGCTCCTCCCCACCTTTGGAAATATCCATTAGGGATTTTTCCAGCAGATGGCAACAGCAGACCGGCGTGGACTGCAAGGGCAGACTCTGCGGGCTGCCTGAAACCTGGCTGGGCTCCACCCAAAGCACCTCTCGGGTCTGCTCCTCCCGCTCCTGGCATTGAGCCTGGCTGGCAGCCCAGGGCATGGTTACTGGAATACAGAATGAATCAGTGCTGCAGGAAACTGCACAACAAGCTCTGCAGCTCTTGCTGTGTGTGCAGGCCTTAAAACACACCTGGTGCATTTGGAACAGATGAAAATTATGGCTCCCCCTGAATAAACATGATTTCTCTCCTAGATATCATTTTGAAAAATACTTCAAGGGGTGATCAGAATGGGAGCACAGACAAACACCAAGAATAAAAACTACAGCGTTTGATGCTTTATCAAAAGGTGTGCCTGCCCTACTGTGTCGGAAAGCTGGACTGCTGGACCCAACTTTGCAGCACATTCTTGTCATTGCTTCTGAGCCACCTTCACCAGCTGCTCTCGTGGCATTTGCCGTGCCATTTGCAAATTACAATACGAGCGAACCTGGAAGGCAAAACACAAGATAAATTTACAGCTGGACAGTCAAATCTTTTTCTCCAAAATGCAATCAATGTACAGCTTTCCCCTTAAGCTGAAGTACAGGCCAAATTCATAGAATCACTCGGGTGAGAGAAGCCCTTCAGGCAGTGAAAACGAGCATTTAGGTGTGGTATGAAGCTTGGGGAGCCCTGAAGAGGCCGTAAAAGTCGACTGATATTCTTTGGAAATTACAAATAAAAAATGGGAGGAATGAATTTACAATGAACCCAGTGCGGAAACGCCGCAAGGGACAGCTTGCAGGGGAGATGCCTGAAAGCCAAAGCTGTGCTTCAGTGGCATCTGAGGTGGCAATTTTGCAGAGTGCCTGTACACAAGTTTCTTTTCACTGCGAGCAGTGAGCAGCGGCTCAGAAGACCTGGCTGTAAAAAACACAGGTTATTGTCCCCAAGCACATGCCAGTGGTCTGGAAAAGGGTGACACTCGTTGACATGACTGTTGTGATTGCTCAAGGGGAGAGCTCCTCAGTCCTCCTCACTTCACTGATGCTCCCCATTGGGGCGCAGGTGAATTTGGCACCACTGGGCTGTGCTTCACCTCCCTGGGTATATTCTGTGCAGGGAACTGCAATGCCATTGCAACTTTTCTGCTCTCACGTCATTCTTCCAGAAAAAAAACCAGTACCTTGAAGGGGAAAGTGCCCTGTCCCTGTCCCACTTCCTTTGTCACTTGTGCTAACCCACAGCACACACTCCCTGCACATGTTATCTGAATGTTAACTCTGTTTACAAGTGCTGTGAATAAACCCCAATCCAACTGAGAAAGTTCCTCTTTGCTCACATTTCAATACAAGGCTGGAACTATCACCTTGCAAAGAACTTTCCTCTACCACTGCTAGATGCAAAACCAAAAAGTAAACCTAGGAATGCCTGCCACACTCCAGCACACAAAGCTGCTGCTGCTGCTTTTAATGGCTTAGCCTGAGGGCTTTGCTGCTCTTCCTTTGCTCTGCTAATGGGAAGGACTGGGAGACCTCTTTGAACTAGCTACACATACCAAAGACCGAATAAACAAGTATTCTTCATCCCATTTCTCTTAAGAGTTTGTCCTGACAGATGCCTTCTCCCTCCTGAGGTGTGGATTATAGTTTGTGTTTCCCTTTTTTTCCCCCTTTAGCCCTGGAAGCATTTCACACCCTGCTGGGCAATGCCCAGAAGTAATCAGACTGACTGAACACGGGAAACGCAGACAAAAGAAAAGGCTGGAAGCTACTGTTCTTCTCCCAGCTGGCACCGCCAGCTCCTGAGGGCTCAGCCACGACAGCCCACGTTTGTGACAGTACCTGTACGCTCTGGGTGTGTGCAGCCCTTGCGTCGTGCGGCAGCCTGGAGCTGCAGGCTCAGATATCCACCGCGAGCTCCTGCATCTTCCAGGACAAAGCCAGCTCTCCCTGCTGCTCCCGTGTTGCGCTGCCTGTGGAGCAGGGAGGGAAGGAGAGGCACACAGGTTAGCACAGTGGCAGTGCACGAGCTGCCAGGCGTCACCCATCTGACCCGCACCAAAGAGGAAATCTTAATTTTCAGAACTTCCCATCATGCCACACAAGACACTGAAGCCGTCCAAATCTGGAAGGGATAGCCTGGCATGATGCCTCCCCCAGGTCATATCTTACATCAAGAGTTCTTTTTCTCCTGCACAAGGCTCTATATCCTACTTGGACAGATATACAAATATCTATAGAAACTACAGATATTCAATAAGCCATCTTAAATCATAACAGCCAGGCCTCTGTACGACCGTGCTTAACTCCTGCTCAGCTCACGCCATCTCCCCGTTCCTCAGGCATCAGAAACCACTGAAACTCCCGTGTTTTCCTGGGGGCTGCCTGCCTGCAGCTGCCCTCCTCTCACCAACGGGGCCACCTGCCAGGCTCCCCAGGGCACAGCAGCCTCCAAGGGGAGCATTCGTCTGTTTGAGAGGTGATGGAAAGCCTGGGGAAAAAAAAAGCTCAGCGACACTGTGGCTCTGAAGGTGCAAGAACCATTACCCTGGAGACGTGCAGCTCACCTGGTTCATGCTGGGCAAGTTCTCTGCTCGCTTCACCTGAGCGTTCAGCTGGAGAGATCCATTTCCACGCGCTGGGCTGGCTCCATCTCCGTCCCTGCTGCGAGAAGGTGTTCAGGGGGATGCCGCTGCCCGCTCAGCAGACGCTTCACACACTCTGCCAGCAGCAGGGGCAGCCTTTGAGGCCACACCAGCCTGGCACAGAGTCACTGAGCCATTCTGACTGTGTTAACAGCACCACGGATGAACCCCCATACCCTCGGGCCTTCATTCTCCGGCACCCCGAGCCCCGCGGCTGCGCGGCAAAGAAGGAAAGCGGGCACCGGAAGAGAGGAGCGAGAGCAGGGCATGACAAAGGGCGGCGAGGGAGGGCGGGCTGTGCAGGAAAGCGGCACGGGAAGGGAAAGCCCGGGAGGGGGGTAGAGGGAGGGTGGACAGAGGAGGCAGAAACGGGGAAGAGAAAGGGAGTAGCGGGGAAGGGGCTGGACAGGAAGGAGCCGGGCTTGTGGGGGGAGAGGGAATGGGGGAAAGGGAGCGAGAGAAGGCGAATACGGGGAGAAGGAAGGAGGGCGAGAGAGAGGGACAGGCGGGGAAGCCTCACAGAGCCCCGGCTGCACCCCGAGCCCGGCCCGGCGCCTCGCCCTGCCCGGGAGGCTGCGCTCGGGGGAGCTGGGCTCGCTCCGGAGTCACTCGGCTCCAGTCGGCTCTTCGGCTAAACTCGGCTATTGTCGGCTAAACTCGGCTATTGGCGGCCAAACTCGGCTATTGACGGCCGCATTCGGCTCCATTCGTCCCTCCGGCTCGCTTCGGCCCAACTCGGAGCCGCTCTCTGCGCGTTCGGCTGAGCTCGGCTCGGCTCGCCTCCCCGAGGGCGGGCAAGCGGCGCCGCCTCACGTTAAACTCGCCCGGCTCGGGGCTCTCCTGCTGCCGCGTCACGCGGGCGGCCCGGCCTTCGTACCGACACGACCGGGAGCGCGGGGTGGCACAGGAGCTCATTGGGCTGTGCTAATTAGCACTCGCGCTAATTAGCGCGCACGAGAGCGGCGGGCTCGGTTCGGCCGAGCTCGGCTCCGTTCAGGCAGCCTCGCAAGCCTGGCCTCGGTTCCCTCGAGCCCGTCAGGTTCGGCCGGTCTCGCCTTGGTTCGGCTGAGCTCGTTCCATTCGGCTGAAGGCGGCGTCGTTCAGTCGTGTTCTTATAAATACCTTTCTTTATTGACTGTATATTTCTATATTTAGATTTCTACTTCTATGATTCCAAATAAAACCCCTGTCTCTAACCAAATAAACACAAAAAAAGCCTTCTTTTGAACGATATTGAAATATTTTTATACTTTTGTATAATTATATTCACATTTATATTTATAGTTTCTTTTGATGCATTATATTCATAATTATATATAATATATATAAAATTCTAGGAAAGTATCTAAGTTATTATTTATATTAGGTATCACATCTACTGCTAAAACTAATTTTTTCTTATAGGTTTAAATTTTATATATATCTGTATATATTTATATTTCTATACTTAGATTTCTCCCTTTATATTATTTGTAGTTATAATTTTTACAATCAAAACACTGCCTATTGACAAATGAAAAAACCCACTTTGTTTAACTATTTTAAAAAATATTTTCATGCTTAAATTGTCATATTTATATTTATAATTTGTTCAGTATTACATGAGAACATACCTGCTCCTGCACTGCAGCGGGGCTCCCGCTCCTGGGGACCTTGGGGTGCCCCAATGGCATCAGAGCCCCGCGTCTTCATCCCCTTCTCCTCTATTTAGAAACTACACTGGAACCTTTTCCTGGGAACAAAGACGTTACCTAAATCCTCTCCCCGTGTCCCAGACAGATGGATATTCAGTTATTAGTTGGCTGGGTAGCAGTTTCTTAAATACAATGATAAACAGGATGCGAACATTTTAGCTACAAGCAAATAGGCAAATCTGAACAAGGTACTGGTGGCCAACACCAACCACCAAAGTGATTTTGAAGCCATTTTTTAAACAATAAAATAATGATACCACAAAAATTAAGCAAAAAGCTAACTACTGGCTAAGAAAGAAGGAAAAATTAACTTTTGACAGCAACAACGTTCCAACCAGACAGGCTTTTTCCTCATGTCATACCTTGTAACTACCTCTCTTGGCAATTCTCATCATGTATCCCAAAAGGAATAAATACCTCAGAGCGTCCTAAAGCAAAAAGTAGCACACGTGAGCCCCTCACACTCCCCTGAGGCCGGCACAGTGTGCACTGAGTCTGCAACAAATTCTGCTCACTGAGGGTCTGCAAACAAAGGTTCAACTGATGAATTGAACTGATTTTAAAGAGAGGTTTTCGAAGCACTGAAGCACAAAAAAGAACAAGCAGAAACAATTCTTAAAAAAAACCTGCAAGTTTCGTTTAGCATATATGCGACTGATTTCCACCCTGTGGCTTCTCACTTGGATTCGTCTGCAGGTTCAGGAAGATGACAATGCACACTCTGCCTTCCCTGAGCCCCCCACAGCAGCGGAGCGCTGCTCCGTGCGCTCAGATCATCAGGAACTGGATTACACGTGCCCGGATGGACCGGAACTGCTCTGCTGCAGATTCAGGAGACGATGGCAGAGAGGGGCTGGCCGAGGCGTCGTCCCAGTTCCGTTCCTGTGTGACGAGGAGCGGTTTGTTCCCAGCAGCTGCAACAATCCCCAGCTCGCTTCCGTGGTGAGTGCCGATGGCACACAAATGGCAGCCCGAGGAAATCGTGTTCTGGGCTCTAAGTGGTTGGGACGGGGTCCGATTTTTTGTTTTGTATCTGTATGATGATTAGTACAACAGGGCCCTGACCGATGACGTGGCAGCACAGAATTAAAAACTCCTCGATAGGATTACATCGGCTTCTAGGAAAAGACAAAAGCCTAGGACCCTTCTGAAATCTACTTTTAATCCAGAGCACACGGATTGTCACCATGCTGCACCTTCCAGCTTTTCAAAGCAGCTTACTTCTGAAGACCAGGAAACACTGATTTCTACAGAAACAATGGGCAACCCCCAGGCTAATCTCAGCACTACTGTTTAATAGGGGACCTGCCAGCGTGCCAGTCCAGCCTAAAGTGTGCTTTACTTCAGTCTAACATCCCCACAAAATTCTTCTCACGTCTCCCAACCCTGAAATCTTTTTTTCCCCTAAAGCTTCTCATCATTAGCAATTTCCAAGTAACATGTTTTTTTTACAGCATTCAAAAATGTCATGCTGGACTGTGCTAGAGAGTAATCTGCAAATATAAGCTTAGCAAAGTTTGAATTGACTTGTCCAGAGAAAAAACCTACAAGCGAACACCTACACCTGCCTACAAAGAGCTAACAAGCCCCTGGCAGCTGCCAGCATCAAAGCACATTGGATGTTTCTAATACAGGGTAAGGATAACAATATCACCTTTTGTTCTCTCCAGCTTGTTTTCCCTGCAGTCATATTTTGCTTCTTATGATTTTTTTAGTCTCCGTATCTTCGTGGACAGCACCGAGCCTGAAGACAAGGATACGAGAGTCTTTCCCTGCCGTACGGAGAGAACCAGGAAAACAGTTAAAAAGAGAACAGGGTAGTTTGAAATTCATACTTGCAATGAGAAGCAGCGCCTAACCAACAGAACAAAAGTAAACAAAGCATGATAGCTCCCTGGGGACAGAAGACTTACAAACTCTCCAGAATTTACAATTCTAGCGACCATCCCCTTCAGGACGGCAGCCAAGTGTCCCGTGAGGTGGTGCTACACCAAAGAACAATCTGAGAGGTTCCAAAGAGCGAAATGCACGATATTTTGCAAAGACATAAAATCTTGCAAAATAACAAAAATACAATGGATGTAAACTACAGGGCAAGAGTACAAGTGTTCACTTTAAGAGCTGGAACCATCCAGGTGAGCACCTGATAACTGGATTCTCACCAGAGTTTGAACCCTTCAGGTCACCGAAGAGTTTTCCCCAGAAATTTCACAGACTGAGTTTTGACAGAAGTACAGTTGCCACATCCTCAGAAACGTCACCCATTCTCCAGGTGTGTGGAGGGAACTGCAAATGGCTCTCACGTAGTTTGAGCTACTTCTGTAAGGTCTCAGGGTGAATTTCACCAGATGCAACCAAACAGGGCAACTCCCTGTGGGACAGAAGGAACCCAAAGCTTGGGTAAGCAGAGCTGCAGCAAATACTGAGGAAACAAACATAACAGTGTAAAAAATAATAAACCATCCTTTTTTTTCTCTTGCTTTTGTTTTTTTCTTATTCAGATCAGCATAGCAATTAAAGAGAAAGTGAAAAACTCACCATTACTGAACATTTCATCATCTGCAGGCTGAGCATCCTTAGCATAGAGGACTCCAAAGTTAAAATTCACCGATCCCTGCGAAATAAAACCAAATATTGTATGATAAACAGTCAGACAGCAAACATAAAAATTTGTTTCCTCTAAGGACTTTCAGGTATGTATGTATCTTTGCATACATCCTACACATTAGAACATACACTTTATACCATCACCTAATACATAATCACTTACCTTTAAATTTTGATAGTATAGCATGAATTTTTAACTTAAATTGGTGATCTATTATTATTAAGTTGGTGCTTAAAGTTATTTCTGCTGTCACGTTCAAAAAAACATTAATTTTTTTTACTGTAATGACCAATTGATTTCAAAGTCATCACAAGCCCATCAAAATACAAAGCTCTGTTCACTGGACGGGTCTGTGAGCTAGAAGTAGTTAGGCTTCTACTTCCCTCTTGTTCTTCCAGAACCAATAAATCCTGTCAACAAAACCAGGATCTTTAGCCCACTGCTGTGAAAGATTCTACAAGGATGATGGTTTGATTTGTGTTTAGAAGTTTTGATTTGAAATGGCCAGTTCAATGGATAAAGACTGTTTAACTAGTATTACATTACTGTTATTATTATTTCTATTATTATTTTTATTATTACTACTACTATTATTATCACCTGTTACTGGAAGAAACAGACCAGTAGTACCTATACTTAATTACTTTTATTTCCAGAAAATAATAAAGAAAAAAGAACCAAACCAAAAAAAGTCACTTCCTACCTTTTCTATCAAGGGATGAAAAATTTCTCTTGGGCTCTCCTCCAATTTACTGTTAAATGGAATGTTCTGTGGAACTGCCAATTCTTTCCCAAAATACTAACTTCCAACACTTCCTGAACGTATTTTGTATTTTAAAACAACAGAAGTTAGTGAGACTCTGTGGAGGTCAGGTTTAAATTTATTTCCTTCTAAAGCATAGAGCCCTTTCCATCACCCTGCCCTGTGGCTCTACACTGAATCATGGTGAGTATTTGGGGAGTGCTCAATAACCAATTCTATTTCTCTCTTTTTCTAGTTCTCTCTATTCTTAAATAATTCAAGACAAGTCAAATGAAAAATGACAAGTTCAGCCTCAAAGTCACACTTTTTCCCTTTGTCTGGTCAAGAACAGGCTCTATGCTGCCTTCAACGATTAAGACTTGCAAAACCGGTTTTACAGGTTTATCATAAAACCCACAGAAGGCAAGCTCTGAATAACAGGAAAAGGTACACAGGCAAATATCTAAAGGGATCACTTATTTGGAAATACATACCTTGACAGAGATTGCACTGAGAACCTTTCTGTGGGACTCTAAGGGAGACGTATTTTCTGAGTACCCTGTAAACAAGAAAAGCTACAATATATTACAGGACATCCTCACTTTTTCTACACATTCAAATAGGATTTTTAATAAAAACAATTCAGTTAAAAAAGAAGGAAGAAAACCAAGCTAATTTTACTCAGCTATATTTACTCCCGATTTAGAGGAAAAAAAAAACACTCACAGGTGCTCGCCGTGCTCGCCCGGGGCGGCTCCTGCAGCTCCCGGCCCGCGGCAGCAAAGCACCGCCCCGCCCCCCGCCCCCAGCACCGCCGAGTGAGGCCGAGGAACCCCGCGGACGCTCCTTCCGCGCTGCTCGGCGCCGTGCGGGCGGCCGGACGGAGGCTTCGCCCGTCCAGCGTCGCCGTCACGCGCGGGAGAGGCGCCGGGAGCGGCCCGCGCACAGCCCCGCGCGGCCGCCTGGCCCGCCAGCCACTCATGTGCCGCGTCAGCCGTTGCGTCACGCGCCGCGCCGGCAGCAAGGCCTGCCGGGAGTTGTAGTCTCGGGCTGACAGCCACGGCTCCGTCCCCCGCCGCCGGGAGCTGCAGAACCTCCCGGGCATCACACGGGACCTTCACCCCTGGGCGGGGAAGGACCTGAGGCAGCACCGCTCCTTCCGAATGCCTTCTCTTTCCCCCTCCAACTCTTTTTTCTTTTTTCACTCTGTTTTTCACCCCTTCCCTTCCCTCTTGCTCTCCTGCTTCCTTTCCTTTCCTTTCCTTTCCTTTCCTTTCCTTTCCTTTCCTTTCCTTTCCTTTCCTTTCCTTTCCCTTCCCTTTCCCTTTCTTGTATTTCTGATCTTGGTTTACCTTTCTAGCTTTAGAATAAAAAAACAGCAGTAGAAACTATCAGGCTACCTGGGAGTAAAAAAAAAAACTCCAGAACGAAAAGGATTTAAAGAAAACTATTTATTCCCTGGGAGCCTGAAATTTTCTACTGCTGCACGTGACATAGAGCTTTTATTCCTTCTTATAGAGAGTTGATATTGTCTACTTACTTTATACAGCGCCCCCTGCCGTCTGTCCCGGAGCACTGCAGGCACAGCGATCCCTGCCGTCTGCACAGGCGCACTGCAGGCACAGCGCCCCCTGCCGTCTGCCTCGGAGCACTGCAGGCACAGCGATCCCTGCCGCCTGCACAGGCGCACTGCAGGCAGAGCCCTGCGGCGTTGTTCGGTTCTGTTTAATGAAACTCGGCTGAATTCGGCTTGGTTCGGCTCTTGGTCTAAACTCGTTTCAGTACGGCTCTTCGGCCGAACTCGGCACGGTTCGACTAAACTCGGTCATATTGGGCACATTGTCTAAATGCGGCCAGTGTCGGCTACACTCGGCTATCGGTTCCAGTCGGCTATCATGGTCTCTTGGTGTAAACTGGGCTATTTTGGGCCGCCCTGGGCTCTTCGGTTCAAGTCGGCTGTTTTCGGCCACCCTCGGCTCTTCGGGTAAACTCGGCTGTTTTCGGCCACCCTCGGCTCTTCGGGTAAACTCGGCTATTTCCGGCTTCCCTCGGCTCTTCGGGCAAACTCGGCTGTTTTCGGCCACCCTCGGCTCTTCGGCTCTTCGGAACAATTCGGCCCGGCTCGGCTCCCTCAGGGCGCGAAAGCGGCCGTCAGAGGACCCCGGCACAGCGAGGCGTTTAACCCACATGCCTGGCACAAACCCGCCAAACTACCCCGCCCGCGGCGCCGCTGAGCCCACACCGTGTGTCGGGTACACATGAAACGCCGCAGAAAAATCCGTCGGAGCCGCCATGACGTCAGTATTCTGTGCAGGCAGTCCACTTAGACCAACCCCGGTCCTCCACTTCCCCGCCCTTTTCGCCGCCATGATGAGAAGGTCAAAAGTCCGCGACATCCACGACGCGCCACTCCCAAGGTGGCGGCCTCTCGGTGCAGGGCTGCAGTACAGCGCTCTGCCCACAAGGCGGCAGCACTGCCGCACGCCCCAGCCGGGGGCGCAGCGCGCCTCGGGGCTGCGGGCAGGGAAGGCGGCGAAAAAGAACAGGGGCGGCCCCCGCCGAAAACTGCTCTGAAATAAATGCCCCAAAACAACGGGGAAGAGGAAAAATAAACCTCTGCCTCTAATCTAAAAGGATAAAAGACAAAACAAAACACAACACACAAAATAAACCCAAAAAAACAACAATTTCTTTTAAAAAATATTTAAATATTTTTTAAAAAGTTTTTTCCTATTAATATTCACATTTCTATTTACAATGGACATTGATGTACACTGTCCATTTATACATTTCTTTTTATAAATACATTTCTATTCCATATTGCATATATCCCTAAAACTTAAATTTATTTGTATATTGTTATACATATTTTTACATGGTAAGTATATATTTCTGTTACGATTTTTACTTCTGTAACACTTGCATTATTTAAAATAAAACCTTTCCCTCCATCCACATTAAAGCCAAAAAGAACCCCTTTCTTCTCAACTGTATTTAAATATTTTTTAAAATTCTAGTTTTCAGGTTCATATTCATATTTACATTTAAAATGTACACTTATGTATACTGTTATTTGTATTCTTCATTACATCTCTTCCTATTATTTGTATTTCTTTATATTTTGTGTTTTATATATATATTTATATCTCGATTGTATATCTCCATATTTAGAAATAAATAACAATAATATCTACATTCATATTATTTAAAATAAAAACCCTGCCTCTAACACAATAGGAATTAAAAAAACCCCAAGCCTTTGTTGCAAACAATATTTAAATAGATTTTATCCTTATATTCAATTTTTATATTCATATTTGTATTTATAATGCATATTAATGTATATTGCTTACTTATACATTTATCTATACCAATGTCAAGTTATAAATAAATTTGTATTCTATAATACATCTGATGCGAGTAGTTATTTATGAATTTTTATATATTTTTATTCATATTTTTTATATTGATTAAACATTTCTGCGTCAGGATTTTTACTTCTGGAACACTTACAATATTCAAAATAAAACCCCTGCCTCTACTTAAATAAAAGCCAAAACATTCCCTTTCTTTTAAGCTATATTTACATATTTTGATATTTATATTCCCATTTATAATTTATATTGCCATATAATGTTATTTATATTCTACACTACAACTCTTCATATTACTTACACATATTTATATGTAAATTTATATTCATATTTTAGCAATTTCTCTTTATATATTTATTAAATATTTCTATCTTAAGATCCACATTTCTATATTACTTATATTATTTAAAATACAACTCCTGCCTCTAACCAAATGAAAAGCAAGGACACCCCTTTATTGGAACCAGATTTAAAATGTAGGAAGTAATATTATTTTTCAAAATTGTAATGATATTCATATGGACATTTTAATTTATTTTATTCATAGATATTATATATATTAGAGAGAATACCTTCTAATATAATAAGAGATCTGTATTTTCTGTATTATAGATTTATTTTCCTTATATTTATTTAAATTAAATATTTATAGAGATTTGTATTTGTATATATATTTGTATATCCGAATTGATATTTTATTTCTATCATTTATTTAAAAACCCCAGCCTATAACCTAATAACACCCCTCCCATTTATTTTAACTCCATTTAAATATTTTCATATTAACTATCTATATTTATATACCTTTGTGTATATATATATATATATATATATAATAGACTATCATTTATCTATATGATGTTACAATTATATACCAGGTATTACAGTTTTA